GTGCATATTCAAACCATAGGCCGTCATGCCAGATTCGACATTGCTGTTGGTTTTCATGCGTTTTATGTAATTTGAGCGCTGGTTGTACTTCTAATAAATTTGAATGCTCTCTGATGTTGCTGTACTGTTTTGGGCCAGCAGATGTCTGCCGAATGCCACCCCACAATTATCATGCAAAGAAATAAACCAGAAGCAAGCACACTTATGTCACTGAAATATAAGCAAGGTTTCTGTGAGTCTTTTAAAAAGGTCTTAAAAAGTTACACAAATTAAGGCCTAAAAAGGTATAAAATCAGAGCAGAAGTCTTACATTTGTAAAGTCATGGCATTAAATGTTGCACGCACTGCAAAAAGTGAATATCTTTTTATTTTTTTATTTTTTTTTAGCTAAACATCCCTAAATCAGTATACATTTACTTGAGATGCAAATTAAACGTGTAGTCTTGTTTTCTAAGAAATTGAACAAAATGTGTACAGCCTCAGCGCATACTGATAACCATGCAAATTTAATCTCCAACTTGCCTTTATTTAATTTAGCTGTTGCAGGATCTTCAGTTCAGTCTATATCAGCGTCTGACCTTCTCAAGCAGCAGAAAGAAGAGCACCAGCAGAGAATGTTGGCTCGAAAGAAGAGGGCGGAAGAGATTCAGAAGAGGTGAGAGGCATTTGTTCTATTAAATATTACTTTGACTACTCGTTGTATTTGTTTTGCGTTACATTTGGAAGCTGATACATTGATTAGTGTTGAGTTTTTGGTGGTGATTGTAGTCTCTAACTTCTGTAAACTGCAAATCCTTTGTGCTTATGAATGATAAAGGCCTTTAACCTGTCCCTATAGTATATGTACTATAAATATTAAGTCTTCTCTACCCAGGGTGCTCCAGAGTAGTGCTCCCTCCCGGCCAAATGTAAGCAGGGGTCCCTTGCTCTCCCCGAAAGCAGCCTCAGAGGTTCCGAAAGGGTCGCCTGGCCTCACGTCTTGTCTCTCAGGCCCTCCTGTGCCCACACTGGGCCGTGGCTTTTCAGAAGGAGAGGACATCCTCCTTGATACATCTCCACCTTCATCAAAGAGCCTCTCAGCCGCAAAGGTATTGTTTGGGGAAAGTGCGCCATCATTTGTTAAAGAATATTTTCAATACCAGGAACATTTTGTTTGTCTTTTTTTTTTTTAGTGTTACTAATAAAAAGTAAAAACTTTATTAAACTATTTACTAAATTAAAAACTCCTTAAATTAAAAACTTTTAGTAATGTTAATACATTTAAAACTTTAATTTCTTATATTAATAGTGAAACTTTTCCAAATATTAAGTTCTTTATTTTAAAAATTAAAGACATTTGTACTTTTTAAAATAATTATGAATAAATTTTTTATTACTATATTAAAAAAAAACATTAGTTTAATTTAAATATTAATTTATATATTTGTAATATTTAAATTTTAACTTATTTTGTGTCAGAAATTACAGTAAGAATAAACTATGCTCTAATGCATCTTTTAATTTTCTATTAAAAACCAAAGCTGTCAATATATTATAATAAATATGATTAAACTCATGATTTCCAGCCTCCGTAAAGCAGTAGTTCTGTAAAATTCGATATGTTAGTTGATATATTTTTATACTTTATATTTATACTCTGGGTCCCTAGTTTGAAAACCCTCAATCTATTGATGCTTTCAGGAAGGATTCCAACACAAACAAACATTTACATTTGTTTATAATAGCTATTGTTTATTTTTGCATAGTTGGCGGCAGTGAGGAAACTCCAAACTAAAGGCTCAGTCATCGTTAAAGACGACCCGAATGCTGTAAAACGCAAGCGAGCCAACAGTGAAGACATCGCAGATCGCGTGGAGCGTAATCTCTCCACCCCTACAGGTACAGACTTTCATATCAGTTTTATTATTGACTCTTTGCTTGCTTGTTTTTCCTCAATTGCACTTACTCTTCTAAAAATCCATCTGCAGTGTCAGATGAAAATTCAACTGGTGAGGAAGAGGAGCCAGCTCAGAAAAAGAGGCGGGAACAGCTAGAGGATATCCAATCGGAGGAGTTTCAGCGTATCCTCAATGCCAAGTCCTCAAACTCGTGGATGATGGGAGAGGTGTGTATTTTGGCTGAACATCAGCGCACGTGTGTTTTGATATGTCAGTGCTTTGATGTATGATGATGTCACAGTGGGTGGGCGGAGCTTGCGGTTGATTTGAAAGCTTTCTGTGTGATCTGGCCAGATGGCTATATTTGCTTTGGATTCTGTAGTGTTTCTTTTGCCATGTGCGATATGAAATGGTGCCCCGGTGGAGTTTGCTTGCATGTTTGACAAAATGTCTTATGTCTAGATTGAGGAACAGGCCATGCAGGAGTATTTTGAGCCGCTGGTGCAAAAAGAGAAGATGGAGGAGAAGATGAGGAGCATCCGGGAGATGAAGTGTCGGGCCGTCACCTGCAAAACCGTAAGTCGACAAATTTGCAACTAAAGAGACTCAGTATCTGTCTTTTATGCCGAGTAATCCATAAATTACATAACTCTGTTTTTCAGTGAAAAACGGGTCAGAAAAAGCACTGGATGCATTTTAAATTTCAACTTGAAAATCCCTGTTGAGTAAATAACAGTGTGTCTCATTCAGGTCCTTACGAAAACAGAGCGATTTCTCCTGCATCATTAGTAGCTAATCAGTATTTATTCACAGCAACTCATAATGGCGAACCAATTTTAAACATAATTTGTGACATAATACCTCAATAAATGTTGTTCAAGAGGAACAAAAGGCAAACAAACCTCTCTAAGATGCTAATTAGACAATTACGTGGTTTCGGACTGATTCCACCTGGAAATCACGGCCTGTTTATGCGGTTTAGTTCATGAGCCCTTCTCGCCCGCAGTGTAAATACACCCACTTTAAACCAGCAGACCGCTGTGTGGAAGAGAAACACGACTACCAATGGCACGACGCCGTCAAACGCTTCTTCAAATGCCCCTGTGGCCAGAGAAAGATCTGCCTGGCACGGATGCCACATGGAGCCTGCAGGTGAGGGGACACAGCAGCACCTTTATGATTTATGTGTTAAATATATTACGTTATACAAGACATTTGATAACATACTGACAATTTAATACTTAACTGTCAGTTTATTGTTTGTTACTGCGTGTTGTAATATAAATTTCACTTTCCGTTTTAGCCATTGTGGCCTTTTTAAGTGGGAAAGAGATGGCATGTTAAAGGTACAGTTTCAATTTTTTACTGTTTTTATTATTTTACGTATTTCGACTCCTTGATTCTGATGCTTGAGTCAAGTTACAACAGAATTAATTTAATGTTCTATAACTACAAAGCTATTCTGTATTATTTTAGTGTTATTTATTTACTATTATTTGCTTTTCAGTTTTAATTTTAACACTTTTTTTTTTTCATGTTTAGTTGGACTTTTTAGAGCTGCTTTACAGCAGAGTGATATTTGTTATAATTGTTGCATAGTTTCATATATCAGCAAAAAAAAAGAAAAAAAAAATATATATACACCATTTCCCGGTGTGGCTGCATTATTTTATTTTTTTTATTTTTTTGTAAATTCTGTCATCAGTTATTCTATAATTTGTTACTGTATTTGGAATGTATTTATTACCATTTGGATTGTCTTTCAATGGCATCTCGGCAGTTTAATTATATCAGCACTTGTTTGGTAACTCGCTCCAGTTTTAACCTGTCTCTCATCATTCTCATGTTCACAGGAGAAAAAGGGACCCAAAATTGGAGGGGAACTACTGTTGCCGCGCGGAGAGGAACAGCCCATGTTCCTCAACAGTTTAAAGTAGAGTCAGCTGTCCTGTGTGCAGCCTGAGCCCAGTCTCACACAGAAGAGGATGCTTGGATCATGTCTTTATAATCAGAGAGTGAGAGTGAAGGTGCTTCAGCGTTATATTTGGTCAATGTTAAATGTAATTTTAGTAACTTACTGTTTGTATGTTGTCTATATACTGTGTTGTTTTAAGATAAGCTATCAAGTCTTTTTAAATGTAAATATTCTTATGTACTGGTATTATTTTAATTCTGAACTTTTATATCCACCATGCCAAGTGGCACACCTGAATTAAACCATACTGAGTGAACTTGCTGTGTTTTATAGACTTTGTGAATGTTCTCATTGATTTGACCAGAGGGACTGGAACACATGCTAAATCTTGTCCGTCTTCCAGCATGCAGAGATGTTTTGAAGCTTTATTACCGCTGTGTGCTTTTCTTTAAGCAGTAGGAGTGGCAGTAAGTCATTCTCCTGTCAGTCAGGTGCATGTGAGATTCGAGGCTCAGGAAGGTCGATAAATCTTAACTTCCACTTGTTTCTTTCTCCCTCATTTTCCCATCTGTCTAAGCTTTCAGCACAGGAATGTCACTCTGTTGCCAGCAAATACTGCCTAGGAATTATTATCCCGTCTGTAGGCACACAAACCTGGGCTTTTTTTATTTTATATGTGTGTGTGTGTGTGTGTGTGTGTATATATATATATATTATCCCGTCTGTAGGCGCACAAACCTGGGCTTTTTTTATTTTATATGTGTGTGTGTGTGTGTATATATATATATATATATATATATATACACACACACACACACACCATATTTATGAGTTTACAAGATGGTGCAGAAGTCTTTATTTTTATTTTTATTGGCTTTCTCCTTTCTCTTTTTTTATAATTCTGGTTGGTACGTTTTATATCGGATCCTCACTGATGTGGAAAATGAGAAGAGCTTTAGTCACACATCAGTACAAACCAAAAGTTATTAAAAAGGGAGGTCAGATGACAGCTGGACGTAATTACTGAAGAAGGAAATGAGTCGCTCTTGGAAAAAAGCTTAAAATCACAAACTAATCATGAATGTTTTGATAAAGAATCCAATAATAGAGTAAAGATAAGCAAATAGAACAGAGGAGAAAATTGTCACATTCCAAACACGAACCCTTTTATTATACATGTATTAAGAGCATTTAATCTGTAAGTGCTATTGAATAATTATATTATGTCATGAAAGTATCCCTCAAACGATGGTTATCCACTTTCCGAGGCACTGCATGTGCTCAGACATAGTGGCGGTGGTGAGGGTATCGTGGGTATTGCCCATCATAGTGGAATTCTCTCCACTGCTCACTCTTCTCTCTGGTTCTCTCGTACTGTTCTGTTGATGCAAAGACAGACAACAGCTAGAACTGGATCCATTTCTCAAAAACTTTTATATCTTAAATGACAAAAGGTGACAATTTTTTAAAGGAACGGTACACACAAAAATAACAAATTGCCGAAAATGTACTCACCCTCAGGCCATCCAAGATGTAGATGAGTTTGTTTCTTCATCAGAACAGATTTGGAGAAATGTAGCATTACATCACTTGCTCACCAATGGATCCTCTGCAGTGAATGGGTGCCGTCAGAATCCAAGCAGCTGATTAAAACATCACAATAATCCACAAGCAATCCACCCGACTCCAGTCCATCAAATAACATCTTGAAAAGTGAAAAGATGTGTTTGTAAGAAACAAATTAATCATTAAGACTTATCTAAGTTTTTTACTTCAAACCATTGCTTCCAGCTAAAATAAAAATCTTCTATTCATGATATTGCTTTCTTCAGCGAAAATGTCATCTTGTCTGAATCAGGAGAGAAATATGCACAGAAGTGACGGTTTCAAGTTAAATCACCTTGATGATGGACATGGCAGCTTTTCTCTTCAGAAGACATTAATTGATGGACTGGAGTTGTGTGGATTACTTGTGGATTGTGATGTTTTTAACACCGGTTTTGACTCTTCTTCTGACGGCACCCATTCACTGCAGAGGATCCATTGGTGAGCAAGTGATGCTAAATTTCTCCAAATGTGTTCTAATGAAGAAACAAACTCATCTGTGTCTTGGATGGCCTGAGGGTGAGTAAATATTAAGCAAATTAAAATTTTTGGGTGAACTATAGCATAAAATAAATTTAGTCTTTGCGGTTCCACCAATTTACGTAGCATGATATTAGCTACGATTATCATCAAAATGGAATTAAAATCTAACACATTCTCTATGTAGAAACAATAATTAGTAACTGTGGAGCTTTAGCTAGAATTATGAACTATGGTTGCCATGGTAAGGAATCATTCATAAACTAATCTTCTTAATCCGTGTATTCGGAACAATTGCATTTTTGATTAAATTGAATCGACTGCGCCAAATTTACCGTTTACTTTCAAAACACTGAAGGAATCTAATGTCACCTATCTAGTGTACTGGATAGAAACAGGGTGTCTGAGAGGCTCAGAGCCACTGCTGTCATCAGCCTCTTATTAGTCCAGCAGTCCTGTCTGGGAACTCTATCCTGTAGAGGGTTTGATCAGCATGTTTCTCTTTTCTGGAAGCCAAGAAAATCAGACAGGGAGATCAGTCTCACCATCGCGCTCCTCCTCTAAATAGTTCTCGTATTTTTTTTTTCAGTTGAGGTCTGGTCAAATTAGCATATTGTGTTAGGGTTGAATTCCTATTGGCTCTTTTATCTGCATATTTAATTACAGTAAGTAGGCCTGGGTAAGGAGTAGGGGGGATATAAAGACTGTAAATTGTTGATTTTGGTAATAAATATTGCTTTTACAGTTCTGGTTAGTTTTATCTATGGTGTTTTATGTTAAACTGTGATTATTATTATTTTTTATTGCAAGTAAAATTTCACATAGAAAAGGCTAGTAACACATTAAATTAAACGTGAAATTTTGAAGTAGAAAGACTGAAATAGTATTAGCCATCTTCACCCTCTGCTCCGCTAAAAGTTAGTGAAAAAAAGCATAGATTTAAGTATACAATAAATGTGTAAATGAGATGCCATTTAAAAATATTTTTTTATGTTGTCTATCCTCCCCAATGCTGCATTTATTTGATAAAAAATACTGAAATAATGTGAAATATTATTATGATTTAAAATAAGTGTTTTCTATTTTAATATATTTTAAAATATGATTTATTCCTGTGATGCAAAGCTGAATTTTCAGCATCATTACTCCAGTCTTCAGTGTCACATGGTCCTTCAGAAATCATTCTAATATGCTGATTTGCTGCTCAAGAAACATTCTTATTATTATCAATGTTGAAAAAGTTGTGCCACTTAATATTTTTGTGCAAACCATGAAACCTTTTTTTCCCCTCAGGATTCTTTGATGATTTGAAAATAATAGCATTTATTAAAAAAATAAATATTTGTCCAGTATGGGTTTTCAATAGCACTTTCACATTTTTGTTACATTCTTGCTCAAAATGTATTAATTGACAAAGCTGTCAGTAGAGTTTAGAAATGACAAACCAATGCTGATAATCTCAAAATGGACACACATCAGGGAAAATTGCTATGGGATTTCATGAAACATCATACAAGAGCAGTTAAGCATCTATCCTTGCAGTCCTGCACGTTTTCGGGTTGCTTTCATCTCTAGAGACGTCCTCAAAAGCTCCAGACTGTCCAACATAAACAGGTTTAAGGGTGACACACACTCCCATAAACCAGTTGACAGCAGCTCACAGATATTAGCAAATTGAGTGCCAAAAATAATCTAGGTTTCTCTCTCTGTCTCTCTCTCTCTCTCTCTCCATAGTGAGGGAAGTTAGTTTAGCTCATGTCTGCAAATTCCACTTTCGAGCCCCAACTGCTTTAACTCCTCCAACCAGCAGTGCCATCACACACACATTGCTGACAATTTAAAATACACTAAAGTAAAACTTTTCCATGCCTTCACTGCTGCAGTCATAGACTGGCAGGGTAAAGGACAGCCTGATGCCGTTTGGACGAGTGACCATATGTATGTGTGTCTGTGGGAGAGAGAGAACACTGCTCCATATTGTTCTGTTGGACCTTCTAGCCCAGTGTTTTTGACTCCGAGCCTCCCACCGTCCAAGATAATATTCAAACGTATTTCCTATGGATTTTTTAACTTGTAATTTTCTGACTCCAGACAAAAAAATAAAAAAAAAGGTAATTGTGACTCTTTATTCTTTAGTCACAATTCTGACTCTTTTTTTTTCTCACAAATTTGAGTTTATATCTTAATTCTGAGGAAAAAAAATCTCAGAACTGCAAGATGTAAACTCAGAATTAAGGGAATGTTTTTCTTAATTCTGAGGGGGAAAAAAGTCAAAAATTACGAGATATTAACTCACAATTGTGAGAAAAAAGTAAGAATTGTGAGTAAAGGTCGCAATGACCTTTTTAAACGTTTTTTCTTTCCATGAAAGAATTTTTTTTTTGTGAGATATAAACTCAGAGTAGCCAGAAAAGAATCAGAATTTTGAATTTGCATTTCGTAATTTTGACCTTTTTTTCCCATAATTTTATAATTTTTTTCCTTTTTTATATTTTTGGCCCATGGCAGAAATAAGTTTCCATAAAGAAATGTATATTCTTCAATACCAAAAAAAAATAAAAAATTGTTGTGTGGGCTTGAGAAATATAATAGGTTTACATGTTGTACATCTAGCTTTTTTTATTATTATTATTATTAAATAGTTTTTGTTTTGTTTTGTTTTTGTTTTTTTTCAGTTGAGGTCTGGTCAAATTAGCATATTGTGTTAGGGTTGAATTCCTATTGGCTCTTTTATCTGCATATTTAATTACAGTAAGTAGGCCTGGGTAAGGAGTAGGGGGGATATAAAGACTGTAAATTGTTGATTTTGGTAATAAATATTGCTTTTACAGTTCTGGTTAGTTTTATCTATGGTGTTTTATGTTAAACTGTGATTATTATTATTTTTTATTGCAAGTAAAATTTCACATAGAAAAGGCTAGTAACACATTAAATTAAACGTGAAATTTTGAAGTAGAAAGACTGAAATAGTATTTTTTGTAAAATGTACTCAAGACATTGTTTTATTGGTAACACTTTACAATAAGGTGTCATTTGTTAACATTAGTTAAAGAATTAACTAACACGAATGAACAATGAACAATACGTGTATTACAATATTTATTAATCTTTAATAAAAATACAGTCGTTCATTGTTCATGTTAGTTCACAGTGCATTAACTAATGTTAACAAACACAACTTGTAATTTTAATAATGCATTAGTAAATGCTGAAATTAACATTGACTAAGATTAATAAATGCAGGAAAAGTATTGTTCATTCGTAGTTCATGTTAACTAAAGTAGTTAACTAATGAACCTTATAGTAAAGTGTTACCTCCTAGTGTTCCTTCTAGTTAATTTGCTCATACTTCTAATATGTGAGAGAATGTTCACTCATTTCTTCACATCTGTATCCTATTGTGGTGTGCATTAGCAATACAATTTAATGGGAGATTACTTAAAGTTGACTTTAAGCTCCTTAATTGTTAAATATTAGGAGTGTAATTGTCTCTTCATTTTGATTAAACCTACAAAGATGATGAGAATAGCAGAACTGAGATGGAAAACATTAGGACCGTTTTACTGCACTCACCATAGTACTCTTCATAGGTTCTTGGGGATCTGCGACTGCGGCGTTTGAAGAAGTTTGAGGCATCAGATGCTGGCATGAAAACTTGTTTAGATGCTCCTGCTAAAGCAATGGAGTAAGAGGAGGGAGTGTGTGGGTTTTGGATTTGGAGTGTGTGTGTGTGTCTGTGTGTGTGTGTGTGTGTGTTGAACTCACTTTGAGCTTCACTGTCTTTTCCATCTTTAACGGCTGCACTTTCAACCCCGGCCAGAACTAAAGGGAGAGATGTGTTTCTTAAAGAACATCAAGAAATGAAAGAAAGCTTTGAATACATTAACCAAAGAAAAAATATTAGAACCTGGTACCATAGTTGTACCTTGTTTTTGTTTTTTTGTACTATTGAGCATTTTGGACATGCATCTTTAGAAATACCATGGTAATCATTTATTACCATGGTGTCTTAAATCACACAGTACTATTTTACAATGGGAAATAGGATTCTGCGAAAACTTTTGACTTTCTATTTTAATTTTTGCAGCATAAATTTCATCAAACTTTTTTTTACCCATCTAAATGAGTTGTCATGAACAACTACTGTTTTTAAGTAAAGCTATTTTTTTTTTTTATATTTAATGGGGAAAAAATGTATCCCCAAAGTATTGACATGCAATAGGTACTCACCAATTAGAATGAGGACGGTGGGCAGCAGTGTGAGCAGGACAGTATGAGTCCTGGCCATCCTTCAGAAGATGAGTGTGTCTTATGCAGGTATCAGAACCACAGCAGAGAGTCTTGAGACCTGAGAGTGTGTGTGTGTGTGTGAGAGAGAGAGAGAAAGAGAAGAGGGAACTCAAAGGAAAGGAGGGGGAGCTGGAATTTCACTGGCCCAGGGGAACGCAGGAGGGGCGAGAGAGGGAGACACGGACCCCAGCACACACCCACTGATCAGACCTTCGGTGTGCATGACAGCCTCTATCATCACTGACCATTACTGTCCAAACTTTTTGGCAGGTTTAGTCTAGCATCAGGTTTCCATTCCAATAAAACAAATGATCAAGTTCGTGTGATAGATTCCTCAAGCAGCTACTCATCAGGATTAAGCCGATTAACTAAATATCAGCACTTTCACCTGTCTGCATAAATAATAACCTGTGCATTCCACTGAGATCAGTATCTATCTATCTATCTGTCTGTCTGTCTAATAATCTGCAAATATCATCTCTGTTCAGCAATACTATATCTGACAAACTATAAACTGACAATTTTTGTGTGAAAATATATTCTAAGACTTTCCAGGGTTGGAATAATTCTGCAGAATGAGTAATAATAACCGGATCACTGTTTTATGTGTTACTGTGTGTGCTACACATGGCATTCTTTACCAAGAGTGTCAGAAATAATTTTCCTGCTCCAAGGCCAGTGAGAGTTTTGTAGGGTTGGAATAATTCTGCAGAATGAGTAATAATAATAACCGGATCACTGTTTTATGTGTTACTGTGTGTGCTACACATGGCATTCTTTACCAAGAGTGTCAGAAATAATTTTCCTGCTCCAAGGCCAGTGAGAGTTTTGTGATTGAGAGACAAATCCTGTGTCCAAATATGCATACTTCACTTCTAAATAGAATGCAAACCGCATCACTGCATCTGCTGAGATGTGGAATCAGTGGACACTTTGCTATCCCATGAGGCCGAGGGTGCAGAGGCCACCAGATTGAAAGAAAAGTTGTTCCTTTTTTGTCAAATTGTACTGAACAACCAAGTGAATTTTTTTCACTCTTTTTTTTTTTTTATCAGTCCAAAAACATCCGGGTCAAAGGTGACTGTCATTTGTTGGATGTAGTATTTATACTACACATCTGCAAACCTTAAGAACATTCTTTGACAACAACTGAGAGGCCCACCTGGAGCCAGGCTTGGATATTTATATTATTATACACAAGAATGATCAGTTAGTCTTCAGCTAGTCTGTATCTAAAGTGAAACGGACACGAAGAGAGAGAAAGACAGAATGTCAGGAAATGAGAAACAGACATGCTGAGAGATAGAGTGAAGTTAAAAGCTATATGTCACTCCTTAGATTGGCTTCTGTCTCCGTTTCTCAACGCTTATCAGAGTATATCAATGTCTATGAGGAAAACCTGCATATGATTTGCCCTTTCTAGGTTGGTTTGGCTATAGGGTGTGCATGTGCATTTATGAGGCATTTTTCCATGCTGTGTAAATGGATTCCTGGATGTCTGGATACCATCCAGGTATTTTCTTCGGTTCCAAGTCTCCATAAGGCAGACACCCCATGAAAACAGTAGCGACCCCAGCCATTTTCCAAAACACACACACACACACACAGACAGCATGTGAAATACTATTCCAGGCATAAGATGACTTTTTCACAAAGGTACCTCCATTAAAAACAGACTCTCCGCTCTGGAGAATCACTCTTAGAAGATACCCATTAAGTGTAAAAGTGGGTTCCCTCTCAAAGGAATTGCTCACCAAACCTTTTACTAACCCTCATGTCGTTCCAGATCCTTACTTATTATCCTCTAAAGGAGGATGGAAAGCTGCAGTAACACTCAGATTTCATTTGCTCTTGTGTACATTCAAAAGTGGTTTGTTTTGGGCCACTTGGTATCATACGTACCAATTTGATGGTGCTTTTTTTAGTCACTTTTGGCGCTTGACAGCCCATTTCTTTTCACTGTATGGAAAAGAGCAGCATGAACATTCTGCTAAACATCTTCATACAGGTTTGGAATGACATGAGGGTAAAATAAATGTTGACAGAATTTTCATTTTTGGGTGAACTATCACTTTAAGCTCAATCTAGTGAATTATCCAGGGCAATTTCTCAACTGTGAATAATGTTGAACCATACTTACCACTTCATCATTATTCCTGTGGAAGTTTTTGATTGGGTGTGGTTTGAATTGGTCTGAGGGAGTTTGTACCATCGACCACTTTAAATAGCCACTTTCATTCAGCGCACTTACCTTTTCTGCTAAAAGCAATTTGATTTCAATGGAGACTGCAGTCTGGGCACGTATGGTATTTATTATATGTGCGTATGCAGAGAGAGAAACAAACAAGCATTCTTGGCTGCTCTTAAAATGCCCACTTATTCTGCTTTTAATCAGCACGATCAAGGAATTGGATTGCAGTTAGCTGGTAAATATATAAATAGATTGTGTATTTTGCTCACATGTGTAAGATCGAGTTTGGAAAACCACTCGTGGTTCCTGAGCGCACAGAAAAAATTTGTCTGCTCGCGTTTAGGTTTATTTACATTATATATAAATGTATAGTATACTGTATAACACACAAAATGCCCATTACATTTGATGTAAAACATTGGCGTTCACATATGAAACTTTATCAGCCATAAGTTTATTTAAAATAAATGTGCATTTATTTACATTAAGCAAAATTATATGGTAGAAACTTTGAATTTTATTAATTAGATTATAACTCCAAAAGTAGTGTTATTGTCAAGGCAAATTTACTATTACTGTAGTGTCATAAAGTTTAAAAGGCACGGTTAGACCTGATCTAATGTTGATCAAACACATATCCATTTAATATAGCAGAATTAACAGTAAAATACATTTGCCTCTTATTGCTTTGCCTCCGATTCTTTCAAAACCATCATTTCCATCAGCAAAAAGCTGGATCTTAGATATTTCAAATGGAGGCCGATTAAATGCTCTGCTGTTCCCAATTATATCGTTCCCAGTGTCCGCTGTGAACTCAAATTCTGTACTTAAGTACTTCAACATAAGCAATAACCTCAATAATTACTTGCAGGAATCACTCTCAGGAACACCTGAAGTATCAATCCAAGACAATGAATTCCCAATGCTCTTACATTGCTTAAAGAAAATTCCACACTAAGATCCATTGATGCTAATATTACAGTGTCTGGCTTTCATTAATATTAGATCGGTATCAGGACTGCTTGTCCCAGGCACAGATGGCAATTCAGAAAGTGAGATCCATGATTTATTCTATACAGTGCTACCTGATGGCCAAAGTTTGTACTTTTTGGTGAAAGCATATTTAATTATCAGTTTTTAGGGAAATTGTTAAATAATTAACAAACAGCTGTGTGCTGTTAATTATTCCAGTTGTGAAGCCGTTCTCTCTCTAAGCAGACAGATGAGCACTGGCAATCACATTGATGTTCTGTTTCCTTGGACCAGACGTCCCCGCAAAGCCCAGGTGTCCTGCCCACAGAACAAACACATGCACGTCGAACCCGACTGCGATGATAAACCACACATGTGTGCATGAAAGTAACTTTGCATTTATCTGAAGCTGTGAACACACCTGAAAGGAGACTGTATCATCAACTCCATACTTCTTGGCTGCAAGTTCTTTCACTTCATTGCTGATGTTCTCCTGAGTTGTTCCTTTCACATCAATGTAATAGCAGTCAGAGCTGGCATAGTGACAGGAGATGGCCTGAAATAAATGCAAACAAATTCAAATTTACATCTAGTAATGTCTGACTTTGTGCCTTCATACACTTACTAAGTTGGTTGTTGACAAAGCACCAAAAGTCAGTGTATTGTTACTCTTCTTGTGCATCTACAGGTGCATCTCAATAAATTAGAATGTCTTGGAAAAGTTCATTTATTTCAGTAATTCAACTCTTATTTTACAGCTGTTTTAAAACTCAACATGTTGCATAAGTAAGATACAGTAGGTATGATAGAGTTATAGAGGAGTAATTGATTCAAAAATTTAAATTAGCTAAAGAATTTACTCGCCCTCAGGCCATAAGACATACTTGTGTTTGTGTCTTCTTTAGAGCAGATTAGGAGTAATGCAGTGGTTTGAAGTTAAAACATCTTGATGGATTTTACAAACGTGCAGCCTTTCACTTCACAAGACATTAACTGATGGACTGGAGTCGTGTGGGTTACTTGTGGATTATTGTGCTGTTTTATCAGCTGTTTGAACTCTCATTCTGACGGCACCCATTCACTGCAGAGGATTGTTTTTCCAAAATTTCCATTTCCATTTCTCCAAATCTGTTCTGATGAAGAAACAAACTCATCTACATCTTGTATGGCCTGAGGGTGAGTAAATGTTTAGCAAATTTTAATTTTTGGGTGAATTATTCCTTTAATACTACAAATGCAATGTGGCCCTGACCACCTCCGAATGTGCTTTAAGAATGAGAAAATTGCCCTGGTCCCCATTTACCCATGTATTTAGCTCTGTCGGTCTGTATGTTACCACCACGTGAAAACAGGGCAAAGTGAACGGTCTTAAATATTAGTGTAAAAGCTCCATGTTTATGCATGCAAGTATACCTACTTTTCGAAATCCTTCGGTTTGGTTCATTCCTGAGCCGTGGATCAGCAAAGGATGGAAAAGCACTGTATCTCCTTTCTCCATCTCTAAATGCACTCTGGGATGGTTTGGACCATAGTTACGCACCCCGTGGTACATCTTATTTACTCCACCCTGGAAGGAAACAAAGAGGCAAAGTGAGGTTGACTGATAAAGAGCATCTGCGTAATCACCCTCACATCCTCGGCATCTCTCACCTCCCATTCTGGGTAGTCATGTTCCTGCAGAGTACCATGGTGAGAACCGGGCAGGACGACCAGACAGCCATTTCCACGGTGCACTTTCTCCATGGCGGTCCATGAACACACAATGCGGTCAGCAGGTCGAAAGGGGAAGTAGTGTAGATCCTGGTGCATAGGATGGCGAGAGGTCTTCTTACCTGGGAAGTAAGGAAGTGCGCATTTAGGTATTATTTAAAATAGATTTAAAATATTTTAAAACTTTATACATAATTATTCTATTCTCCAAATTATGTTTGAAAACCATATACACCACAATATATATAGATTTATTAGATTTAAACAGTAATTTTATTTAAAATAAATGTGTATACAAACACACTCACACACTAATTAATACTATTGCTATTACTGTTGCTTTGATTTAGATG